ACAGTGGCGAAGCCACCAAAAATGTCATAGCCCATGTTCTCCAATGCATTACTGTTATTGGTAAACCTCAAACTATTAAAACAGATAATGGGCCTGGATACACTTCACAAGCATTTCAAAATTTCTGCCATCAATTCCAAATCAAGCATATCACAGGTATTCCTTACAACCCCCAAGGACAAGGAATAATCGAACAAGCCCATCAGACATTAAAGAATACAATTTATAAGCTTAAAACCAACACTGTTTACCCTATAAAAGGCTCTCCAAAAAAACCTCCTTAATCATGCACTATTCACGCTCAACTTTTTACAATTAGACAACTACAACAAGTCTGCCGCCGACAGGTTGTGGCACCAAGAGACGAAAAACCAATTTGCAGAAGTCTTATGGAAAGATCCTCTAACCTTTAAATGGCATGGTCCCGACCCAGTTCTTATCTGGGGTAGAGGCCATGCCTGTGTATATGATACACAGGGAAATGGACCTCGATGGTTACCAGAGCGCCTTGTCAAACCCATTAATACCCTTTTAAAACATATTAATAATAACCCAATACATTCCAGGGAGGAGAATCCACCCTGAGAACAGTTTTTCCTTGCCTTTCAGGAAGAAGATAAATATTCATCATCACTGGACAAGGTAAGCCCACCTGACCTTTGTTAGCACAGTTGTAGGCCCACTACCAGTAATCTCGCCTATTTTCATTGAACCCTAAAAAGTCATCATGTCTACTATCCATTCCCTTATCACTACTGTAATAGTCACTGTTGTCCTAGGAGGATTTGGACCCCCTCCAAATAAGGAAGAACTCCTCATCCAGTTGTATGGAAGCCCTTGTGATTGTAAGGGAGGAATGATGGATTTAGAACCTAGTCTGAGAGGACATACACAAATAACATCTCAAGGGGAAAAACCAGTAGCTAGACCTCAGCTTACTACCAGAGGACCTGTAGACTGCCAAGACAAAATAGCATACCTCACAGCAGATATCTCTGCAGGCGGATTTTCATCTGGAGTAGGTTGGCAGCCCCAGTCTTGGAAATGTGTAAGAAAGCCCAAAATTATACCTATAATTAATGGTAAACCAGGGCCTTGTCTCAACCCCTGCCAAAAAGCCACTGAATTACACTCTACCTGTTACCGCACTGTCCAACAGTGCACCGGTGCCGATGGCAAAAAATATCTAACAGCCATCTTACAAAATGGTTATGCTGGTTCCTTTGGAGGCGAGTATGATTATAGCAACCCCCGAGGACATTCTAAATATGCACAAGCCTCCTGTCATGGCCAACTTGGCAAGGCGATTTGCTGGCCACTGCAAGCCCCGATCCACATATCTGATGGCGGTGGACCAACAAAGTAAAAGAAGCCCAAGTTCAAAAGAAAATTGAAGAAATTATCAAAGAAATATACCCTCCCCTAAAGTATCACCCTCTAGCCTTGCCCAAGTCTCGTGGCATAGATCTTGACACCCAGACTGCTGATATTCTAAAAGCCACCCATAGCGCACTAAACGCTACTAATCCCAGCCTTGCTGAAAATTGCTGGCTATGCATGACCCTTGGTACGCCTATGCCCCTCGCAATTCCCACTAACGCTACCAATACACTGCCAGAACAGAGTTGTACTCTTAACTCACCCTTTAGAGTACAGCCTGTGGGATTTAACACATCCCTATGCATACAAAAGCAGCCCCAGAATAATAGTGATGACGTGAACGTAGGATTTGCCTCTTTCACAGATTGCTCCCAAGTTTCTAATTATACCTCATCTCTCTGCCCCGCTATTGGGCAAGTCTTTATCTGTGGAGGAAACCTAGCCTTCACTGCCCTACCCCCAAATTGGACTGGGTTATGTGTGCAAGCCAGTATTCTCCCAGATATTAATATTATCCCAGGAGAAGAACCTATCCCCATACCCAGCTTTGAGTATATAGCAGGGCATCCACGCTCTAAAAGAGCCATCCAGCTTATCCCACTCCTAGTAGGCCTCGGGATTACTACCGCAGTGGCCACAGGAACAGCAGGGGCAGGGATAGCTGTACATTCCTATCATAAATTGTCCCATCAACTAATCAACGACGTCCAAGCCCTCTCAGGAACAATTAATGATCTCCAAGACCAAATAGACTCTCTAGCAGAAGCAGTTTTGCAAAACCGTAGAGGCTTAGACCTCACAGCAGAACAGGGAGGCATCTGTTTGGCTTTACAGGAAAAGTGCTGTTTCTATGCTAACAAATCAGGCGTCATCTGGAACAAAATAAAGACTCTTCAAGAAGATCTCGAAATAAGGAAGAAAGAACTCCGTGACAACCCTTTCTGGACAGGACTAAATGGACTCCTCCCCTACCTTCTCCCCATCTTAGGCCCGTTCCTAGGATTAATACTAATACTTTCCGTCGGCTCCTGGGCCTTTAAAAGACTCACAATGCTAATCAAACAGCAAATCGACTCTTTTATAGCAAAGCCTATCCAAGTTCATTATCATCGCCTTGCATTAGCTGATCAAGGTGTAGATCCTTATATAGAGCCTTGCGCCAGGAGAGACCCAGCAGTAACTTGGGAATAAAAAAGAGCCACGTCAAGGTTTTCTTGTCCTGTTCCTTGACAATGTTCCTGGGCAACTAGACGGGTAGTCAATGACGGGTAATTAAGAGGATATACCTGCAAAGATACAGGACAGATATAAGACCTCTGGGTAAAAGGGCCAATCTAATACTGGGGCAAGCTCCTATATAGGCCGGTCCAGTATTAGGGCAAGCTCCCCTGAATCTACCAGGCCGACTCCGAAAGGAGGCAAGCTCCTGGAAACAGAGGCCAAGTATAAGACCTCTAAACCTAAGACAGGCACCGTCTACCCAGGAAATAAGTGGCTCAAAGCACCCTAAGTGCTGCTCCAACCCCTCCTAAAGAACAGAAAGGGAGGAGATGCTGGAGACCAAAAGGCCCCCACCCACAAAATGATGAACTTCCTGCTTCTCTTCCGGGTCCTCTGCTCCCGCCGGCACCAACCAAGGCCCAATCACCCCTCTACACCTTCCCACTGGCACCATCTAAAAGCCAATTGTTTTTTGACCCGCCCCTTCCTTCCTAACCTGTATAAATTGAGCCTGCAAACAATAAACTGTGCCAGCTTGATCAGACATCCTGCCTTGCTGGTCGTTCTTTGTGTCCCTTGCTTGTTTCATTTCTGCAGGCGTCTCCGGCTACACCCCACGTTCATCCTGCGGGCCGGGACAACAGTGGTTCCTGAGGTGGGATGCTTTCAGCTGTGGGTAGCCCGCTTGGTTTAGTCGTACAAACCAAATTAAACAATCTGGAACCAGCTTGCAAAAGCGACCTCCTTCTCTGGTCCTCCTGAGTGTCTTGAAGAAATTCTCGGTTGCATATGAGCATGGTGCTCCAACGCTGCTCATGTCCCTGAATCTGGCTCACAGTCTGCTTTCTGCAGGCAGCAGTCTCTGGTTGAGATACAATGACCTTGTTTTCCTTTTTGATGTTAAGGTAATTAGCTTTGTCACTTCCTTCAGGTGTCTGCTCAAATGACATCTCCAAGGGGGCCCTCCCGGCCCCCCCATCCAGAGTAACCCTCCTAAGCCACATTCGATTTTTGTGCAGCAGCTATTACTACATAGTATCTGTCGTTAATGTATCTCGATCTCGTTTTGGTCACCCCTTTGGCCTGAGAAACTAGAACTGAGCCTGACGGTTATCTGTTAAACAAACTGAGTGTGTGTTGCCTGTATTCTTACAGTTATGTCCTGTTATAACAAATGAGAATGTTCTTCATTTATGGTAGTAAAAGTTTTTTTAAACACAATATACATTTTTTAAAAATTAGTCAACTTAAAGAAAACGGTACATTGGTGGGTGGGGAGACAAGGTCAAAAAAACAGTGAACCTCAAGTGAAAAGTTTCAGAAACTGGTTTGTTTTTATGGTTCTCCCGAGATGCTCATCTTTGCTGTCTTCTCCTGGAGTAACCTCCACTGTCTTGCTGCACAACTTAGGGAATTCTTCAGCCAGCCTTGAAGCACGTGCCTGTGTGTTCCCACAGCTTTGGCTCATGCTTCCTTGCCCCCTTCCCAAACCCACTGCATTTATCAGTTTGTACAGCCCTCTCCCCATGAGATAGACCAGGAGGTCCTGAGGACAGAGGCCCTGGGGATCCTTTTCATCCTGGTTCCCCAGCCCCCATTGCTCAGTAGTGTTACCAAATGGACCATTCCTTCCCATTGTCACTTGTTTTCCAGTAGTAAAACTACCATGAGCTTTAAGCCTTAGGATGACACATGTGATTTCTGAGGAGCCTTCTGTCTTGATCCTTAATCCTGTTCTCAGGTGATAATGAATCATTATAAAACCCCAAATTTGCCCATTCCATTAAATACGTGTTCAGAGATACCTCTCCTCACCCATCTTAATTTCATCCTCCCAACAAACAAGTGGGAGGGTAGACTGGACAGATAAGATTACCATTTTTTCTAGATGAGAAAGGAGTGTTCAGAGAGGTTATGTGGCTTTCTGAGATCACCCAGGTGTGGAGCTGGTCTCTCCATGCCTAGTGTTCTTCCCACTTTACCACACTGCCCCCCCGGGGTGGGTGCCCAAACTACCCACCATACCCCCAAAAGAGCCCATGCCAAGGCAGCCGGGAGACTGGCCACGACTGCCACGTCTCACATCACAGACGGCTGGCTGGCTGGGTGGGCCACCTCAGCCCCTCATCTGGAAACAGACGGTCCGAAAAGCTGCACTGATGAGCTTTTCCTTTCAGAACTACCAATATTTATAATAATCACCATTTTGCTGTGAATTGATTTCTGACCGGAAATGAGAGTCATTCTGGGTTGCTGACATTATTGGTTCTGTACTGCGTCACCTTTCTTGCAGCAGCATTTAAATGCTCGTTATTGATTAGCAGATGGATTGCACCTGGATGCTGTGAGCAAAATGAATTTTGGAAATAAAGCAGTTTAAAATTTGTCTCAAAACCCAACTGCCTCACAATATTAAATTAAATCAAAGGAGTTGTGGGTTATGGGTGATGACACTGGGTTAATTATTTGAACAGCTATGACTTTCATTATTCCCATGGCACTTTCTTCCTCCTCCATCTGAAGAAGAGTCACTAAGTACCTATTATTACTGAAAACTGCACTGACCACAGTTATATGGAAATAATGAGATAGTCCTTCTATGGAACCAGATTTATAAATGGAAAGATAAGTCGACCCTTGGCTCGGCCATCAGTCAGCAAACATCTTTATTCTTTCCATTTGCCAGTAATATTTGTAAATGCTTTCAATTAATGAGGTAGTATTTGTGGAATTAAATATAAGTTGCTCATAATTACATAATTAATGGTATCCTGCATCATTGATGATTCCTAGAGGAGACCACCTTCCCAGCTGGCCCTCTGGGGACAGTCAGCCCCTCAAGGCTAGCATGTGAGTGAATTTATGTCAAGAAATTTATCAACATGAAATGGCATTTAGTTATCTAACAATTTACATAACTGAATATATTTGTATATGTAATTTTCTAATTATATCTAATAGGTATAAGACTAATACACACTAACAAGAAAAGAATAATTTAGATACATAATTTTATAAGATGCTTTCTTGAAAGCAGGTTTTGATAAAGGATACATATGGGTGATCTCAAAATAATGAGGCTTAAGGCAAACAGCAATGACAAAATCAGAGGTGGGGATGATCAGAGTCTGAGTGAAGTATTAAAAATCCAAACAGCTATGTTGTAGTGAAAAATCTATTTAAAATATAAAAGAAAAAGATATAGTAATATTAAAATGATATGAGAAGTCTCACTGTAAACATAATTCTGACCTTAGGAAATAACATCCTTTCTAGTTTTGTCTTATCAGTGACCGTGGAGTGTCACCTCATCAACCACCAAGATGCTGCAAAAAATACCAGGCTATTCCTGAAAGGAGTCAGCTGAAAAGGAAAGTGAGTCCCTCTGCTCCGCTTGCGACAACTTGCATGCCACAAAGGACAACTAACTCTAGGGCTACAGTTTTTGATCTACAGGAACAAGATGAGTCTATGAAAGGCATGAGTCCTTAGTGATGAAAAGTTAATAGTAAGTGTGATTACAAAGCTAATTATAATTCGAAGAGAGGATAAAATAGGATATTTTAGAAAGCACTTACGTTTGGCATATATGGGTTCTGTTTCTTAGTTCAAGTTCTCCACCTGTTTATGAAATGGTGTATCTGTATACATTAAGAATGGATGAGTTTGCTATGAGTAAGTTGAAGATTTCCAGAAAGAGTAGGAACTGTACCAAAACCAGGAAAGGCAGGTAAGACTAGTGGTGTCATAAATAACCAGGGGGAAAGTGGGCTCAATAATTGGTGTTTCAAGTGTGGGTTAAATTTCCAGAATCTCCCACCTGGCCTTAGCTCATTTACATATATGGCTGTGAGCAAGTTAATGGATTAGCCAAAATGTCCTAGGAGAATGGCTGGTAGACTCTATGCCTTTATAGCCCTAGGAATTGTAATGAAGTACAAATGATGTATAATGAAGTTCATTGTAAACTAAGGCAGAATATCATGTTATCCAAGATCTAATGTACATGGCAATAAAGATTGCAGGAACTTGCTTGTAAGTCCTGTTGGCATAGTAGTTGACCTAATCTGAGAAAGGGCACCCCAACCAGCAAATGTCTGCTGCCATTTGAGTCACCTTGAAGGTATTCTGTGTTCCAATCAAGAATTCATCAATCAGTGATGCAGAGGCTATGGTTTCAATCCACCTGGGAAGGAGACAATCTTGCTCTTTTGGGTTGGATACTGCAATCTTAGAATAGTACAAAAATACGTGTTATAGAGATAACAAAGAAATTGGTGAAATCAATAGTAAAGAGTTGTACAAACAGGCTTAAGTATAGGTACAGTAAAAATTTTCATGATTTTAAGGTGTTTGAAGCATTCAGGAGAAGTTATATTAGACTCAGTTATATAGAGACATGGTAATTAGATAAAATGTATGCATGTTTAAGGAAATTTGATTTGTAAGGTTTTAAGTTTTATCAGTTTGTTTAAGTAGTTTACAAGGAGTTAACAGATTCATAATAAATACTCTTTAAACCCACTACAAGCAGTAGTAACTGGGACATGTAAAAAAAAAGGTTGGGGAGGCATTATGGCCTTGGATCCCAGCAACAGGAGGGCTGCTAGAGCCCAGCTGTGTGCCAGGCCCATCTTGGGGACCCAGTAAATGCTGTGGAAGGAAGGGAGAGGGGACAGAGGGAGGGAGGGCCACTGGGGGTGAACCCAGGAGACGAGGAAAGGAATGATGCATAATTATCATTTATGTTGTGGTTGTGTCAACAGCACTGTTTCAGATATTCAGACTAGAGTAAAAAACAGGTTACTAGAAAGCATGGCACCTGGGTGCCCATAACTCAAGGGCTGGTTAGATGGACAGTTCATCCAAACATGGAAATCCTGTGCGGCTGTGCCAAAGACTGAGGTTGGCATGGCTGTGGAGATAAGGGACCTGCCTCTCACCTCCACAGGTAAGACGCTGCGGGGGACGAGGATCTAGGGGTATCCCTGCGGGAGGAAAGCAGGTCATGGAACAGTGCACAGAGCACACTGCCGACTATGATGGTTTAATAGGATATATGTGAATGTGATCATGTACGTGGAGAATCTCTGTGAGGAGGACAGCTGGGCCTGGGGCCCTGGGCTGACTTTTCATTGGACATTCTTTTGAAACAGTTAAATATTCTTTCATGTTCAAAGCCTCTTCAGAGAAGAAAAGGGACAGAGGGACTCTGGGGGCCCGACTCTGGGTTCTAGTCCCGGATCTGTTACTTGGTAGTTGTACGACTTTGGACAGTCACCTATTTGCTGTGCTGTGCTTTCCTCCTCTGGACAACAGGCATGCTCACCTCACATCAGGCGCTGTGAGAGCCAGTGAGACAGGGCACACAAGCCGGAGGAAAGCTGCAGCTGCATGTTTAAGGAAATTTGATTTGTAAGGTTTTAAGTTTTATCAGTTTGTTTAAGTAGTTTACAAGGAGTTAACAGATTCATAATAAATACTCTTTAAACCCACTACAAGCAGTAGTAACTGGGACATGTAAAAAAAAAGGTTGGGGAGGCA